AAAATCCAAAGAAAAATGCATGGTGATAGTTGTCAGTTGTCAAAAAAAAACAGAAAAGCAAAGATAGTCCCCACGCTTTTTGAAGCGTACATTAGTTTTGGATGGGCCAAACCCAAAGCGAATTAAAGGGCCATCAATTTAGGAAGAAAACGGATATTTCTATTTTTAATTTAATTTTTTTTTTTTTTAAAAAAAAAAAGAGAAAAGTAAATGTTATCGAGAATCCAAATCTTCCCCGTCAACGTCCCTTTTAAGTAGAGAGAGAAAGACTGGACTACCCACTTTCATCTTTTCACATTCGGATTCTTCATTTCATCATTTTCATTTGTTTGTCATAATTGTCATTTTAGACTATAGTTTTCGATTTTAATTATTACGATTTTTATCATGCACACAATTTTTGTTGATGTGGGTCAGTGAGATAATTCCACCTAATCTCACTATTAATACTCCATTTTATTCACCATTTAATTTTTTCCTTTTATTATTAGCCGTTGTATTTTGCTAGACTTTTGTGATTTTTTTAGCATGTGTTAGATGCATGTGTAGTTGAATTAATTAATTTGACTTGTTCTTGTAGTTCAAATTGTAATGCTCTACACCAGCTATTATTTTAATCTTTTTTTGTCGATATATGAATATACACACTGGAACTAATCTGAAAGTATAATGTACCGAGAAGTTAATTGAGCAATTGAATGGATCACTAATGTCGAGCGCTTAATTTCTCATAAATTAGGTCATGGTATAATTGTTCAGAAACAATAAAAAGAATGAAGTGATTTGGATTGGTGGAGTTTAATGCATGCATTGCAAATCTTTATACATCCTTCAATTATAACAATGAAATTACTTTGCCATTTTAATCCAACACGACAACACGATCGATTAAACTTAGTGATTTAGAAGTATGCATATAAAATGTATGTAGATTGCTTAGCTTACACTCCTTCCTAATTTGTAAGTGGAGCTATTAAAGTAGTCCCTCCAATTTTTTCCCCTTATTATTAATATTATAAAGTATTACTACTCACGTAGTTCATCAAAATATTGAAACTTGGTTTAGCTAAAATCATTAAATGACCTAATAGAGTCACTATGAAATTAAAAAGCACAAAAGGTAAAAAAACCATATACATATGAGTTCATGACAAGGACATGCATGCGATTAGAAGGTCGCAAATGCAAGTTGCTTGTAAGTGGAGATAAAGCAATAATATTATTCGTACCTATTATAATCTTTAATTTTTTTTATATTTTCTAATGCAAGTATTTTTTAGGTTAGAAACACATGTTACGTGAGACGAAAATTATTTTCATGCTTAAGTGTTATTTTTATGAAGTATGAAAGGCGCATCTTTAAATTATGTATGTAGCTTATGAGGCAAGTAATCATATGTTGTAATATTGATAAATTGAAAAATATAATTATTAATTAATTAGTTTGTTATAGGTACGGTATGTATGTATGCAAAATAATGCAATGTTAATAATTGTTAGATAGGACGTAATTGTCATATATTAGGTCAGCATTAGGAGGAACTGCTATATTCATTAAACTTCTTTAATTGGGAGCTAATTAATGGAGTATTCTACTTAAAGTCTTATTTCTTGTTCATAAGTTTTTAAAATCGTGTCATGCATCATGTTCTTTTTGGAAGTTGTTTTCTTTTGATAATGCATAATGCAATCATATTTGATTATTGAGATTATAAAAGTGTAAAAATGGTATTTATAGGATAGCTACATTTGTGTCTAGTAATGGATTTATGGTGTTGAATTTCCTATTACATTATTTTGGATAATCAAATGGATTTAATCAGGGTAAGTAGCTTGGTTGAGTTAAATGAATAAACAATCAAGGCTCACTGTATAAGCTAAGGATAGGGTCATATTGAATTTAGGATATGGAAAAGATGAGATACAAAATTATCGTTCTTTATTTATTTATTTATTTTTATATAAAAAGTTTAAACACTTTGTTTCAGGGATGAAACTATATGTATAGGCGTCACTACTTAGTAAAGTACTTTTCTGTAGTTTTATGAATTCTGAATGTTAATGTTGAGTACGTAATCATAGAGGGGATAGGATGAAATATAAACCGATAAAGAAAAAAAAAAAAGATATCAGTCCACTTTTGATTCATACTCGTATAAAAAAAAGTTTTAAATTATCTTATCAAAAGATGATTAATGAAGATTGAATTTGTGGTATTATGAAAATTGATTGCATTTGTGCACTTTGTTTAAGATATTATACAAATTTTCAATCTTGATTAAATCACAGCATGACTTATCACCTAAGACATTCATATAGAGTTTTATTATCCATAAACGACTAAACAAGTCCAGATTAGAATCTTATATAGCATGTCATCATCTTTTTTTTTTTTTTTTTTTTAATCTTCTTCAATTACAATCTAATTATAAGCATCATTCAAACGTTATGTATGATATATATTAATATAAAGTCGATTATTATTGGTTACATTCAATTCACCATGTACATATTTAAGTTGAGTGGACGAAAAAAAATGATATATGGAAAGAAATAAAATCTTTGTTAAAATAGGCATTGATAATGACACCTAGTAATGAATTTGATATAATTAACACATCAAAATAAGACTCTTCGAAAGAGAATCGAGTAAGTGGGATTGACGGTGCTATCCCGGGGTTGATCATGAAGATGCGTGAATGCACTTGCCTAGTTGCCTACCACATTGACTAAACAAACTAATTAATATTGGCAAACAAAAGACGATACCAATTCCATCACATACTTGTAAGATAAGATGTCATTGTTAATTAATGACATCGGCCCGATTAATTACAATTAAGTAATCCTCCGTAGTACTCAATTCGTAGAAGATATAATAGTATAGTAAGCCGTAAGTTAAACTAGTAGATGAGCATCGCATCGCATCGCACAAAAGAAAGAAAGAAAGAAAGAAAGCAAAAGGAGCAACAAAGAAGTGAAGTTGTGCACATTCCCGTGCAAGTTGGGCAGCCCCGAAAAAAATACTCGTAAAGAAAAGATGCACATAAATTAAATGTGGGACACTAAACTCCAACACTTTTGATAAGACCCAACAGTACGGACCACATCCCATGTAACCGTTTGGAAAAATTAAAATTAAAAATACTTCCATAAAAAAGGACAAATACCAATACCAAAGTTTGTAAATATTCATAAAAGTTTGCACGTACATTACAAGGCAATCTCCCCTTTTCAATGCTTCACCATTAAAGTTGGGGACTTTTTATTTTTTATTTTTTATTTTTTCTACTAGTATTTTTAATATTTTATACGAGTAGATATATTTTTGGGGGTTACTTTCAGCTCAGTTGTTGCAGGGTTATATGGTAGTGCAATTAGTGCATACGGCATAGCCTCAGCTTTTTTGGACTACTTGTTGTATTTTTTTTATTTTAAGTATTATGATAAATTATAGAGTATTTTATTTTAGTTTGGATTTTTGAGAAATTAATAAATAAAAAAAAAATAAAAAATTGTGGGGTACAGAAAATCGTCCATCTTCTGTTTGCTTTTGGGTTTGTGTGTGTGTGGGGGGGAAGTGTGAACAAGAAGCTCCTGTCAATCCCATCTGTCAAATGTTTATTTTTAATTTTATGGGAAAATTAAAACATACGGAGTAGAATATTGAATAATTCAATTATTATAACCAATAACAAACAAAAACCTTTTTCAGTGGTCAAAGTAGTAAAGAGTGGTAATTTTAGAGGATAACATGTCAGCTTGATAGGCATCAATTTATGTGAATCTCTTTTTAGGATTGTTTTTAGGCGTAAAAGAATCATTTTTTACAACTATCTCTAAATTATTGAAGCCTTTTTCACCCTTTTTTCTAAAATAAAAAATAAATGTGCCACTTCACGAATATATTATTGTAATGACTAAAATGTAGTACTGATGTTAAATTTATATCTTCTGTAACATATTTATGAGTACCATAACTTATTATTCCAATGTGTTATGTTTCGTATACACGATTTAATGTTAGTCATAACTTTGGAATTTGTTTATCAATTGTGTAATTTCAACTATGAAACTTCTTGATAAAAGTTACACCATTATATTCATCGATCATAATGAGAATGTAATTAAAGAAAATCAAAGCTATAGGTTCTTGTAAGTTGTAACTCCTGTATTCAATAATTTTGCGAAACTTAAGCAATTCTTTTTCAAACTTAAATTTGGAATAGAGTGCAAACGATTTCAAAACGGATCGTCAACAACATAGCAAGAAAAATCATTCAAATAACATGATCCATGTCCAACCATTTGATCCGAGATCTTGAAATTGCTCTTTCAATGACAATACATAAAACTAACTTGGGAAAAAAAAATATGAATCAATCTTTAAAGAAAAAAACAATTTGCATATGGGCGTGTTCGGCAAAATATAGCTGTGAAGGTAGCTGTTAGCTGTGTAGGTAGCTGTTAGCTGTCAACAAGCTGTTAGCTGTGAAGATAAATAATTTAGATATGAGTGTTCGGTAAAGTAGTGGTTGACTAGCTGTTACATATAAAAATCAATTTTTTATTTTTAAAACTATAGATTAAATTTTCAACAGCTACTTGAAAAGCTACCTCTAATTTCAAAAGCTAATGTTTTTAACTTTTCACAAAAGCTACCTCCACCACTAAAAGCTACCCGAACCACTACTTTGCCAAACACTCACATTTTTTGTTGAGCAGTGGTTTGACTTGGTCAAACCACTAAAAGCTACCTAAAAGCTAACGCCGAACACGCTATATGTTAAAACATGTTTTAATCAAATCCATGACTCAGACAAAAAAAAATTAAAAAATAAATACACCAAAAAAGGCATTAATATCAGACAGGCAAAGATGCTACCAATGTACTACAATTCTGTTCAATTGATTGTGATTTTCCTCCACCCACCTCTGATTTTATCTGCCAAGAAGGACAAAATTATATTTACCAAAAGACTAAAATAACAGTAGCAAAAGATCAAAATGGGGCATTTCTTCAATTCATTTCACCCTTTTTCTTTTTTACTCTGATCAAATCTAGACAAATTTTCCTAAAAAAAAATTAAAAAGAATCTGTTTTTTTTTTTTTTCTTCTCCTACTCCCTCCGTCCCCGAATGATAGTCACTTTTGGTGAAAATCACGGGAATTAAGGAAAAATAAATAAAGTACATGGGAACTAAAACCCAACCATTTGCAAACACAAAAAGAAGAGAGAGAAATTCATTGTCATTAAAAAGGGAGACAACTCATTCAATTAAGGCACAAATACAAAGGCAAATATGAGGGTATTTTGGGAAGCACAGATAATACATCCAAAAAAATGAGGATATATAGGTCATTTTGTGTTATTGTATGAGACCTAAAATTGTGAAATGTGACTAACATTTTGGGTGTCCAAAAATGGAAATAGTGACTATCATTCGGAGACGGAGGGAGTATCTATTTTCATGAAATAAGAGCTTCAATGCTTGCCATTTTTACAGATTTACAAACAGGACAAACATCAACAAAAGCTTCACATCCTTTGCAACAACACAGATGCCTGCAAGGCAACAACAACACGCACGATTTTCCAGTTTTGCAAACTTTGCACAACACTTCCCCTGTTTTCTCTCTCTTCTCCCCTGTTTCTGCAACAACTACCCCTGTTTCTTCTCTTTTCCTCTTTTTATTGGAAAACTCATTGTTGCTGTTGTCAGCAACATTACAGCATGATTCTGCATCGTCAACTTCGTTTGAGCAACACGATGATGACGTCGTTGTCAAACAACCTGCTTGTTGTTCTTTCAGTTGCACCAGTGTGTTGTTCAATGTTAACACCATTGCTTCATTCTCAGTTGCCAATCTTTGCCACTCTTGATTTTCAATCTCCATTTTTCGGATTATTTCTTCTAAATCCATCGTTCTTTTTGTTGCTCTTGCAATTTCTTCGTCCTTTTGACGCAATAATTGCATTGCTTTCGATTCTAATTTCCTCATAATTGATCCTAATTGCTGTTTCCTCTGTTCTTGTAGTGTCATTTTAAGCCTCTCATTCTGAAAGAAAATTAAAGATAAAATTAATAATTAGTACCCAAATCTAATAATTACCCATTAAAATTAAACAAAAAGGGTGTCTAAAAAATATAAAATTTAATCAAAAAAATTAACAAACCTGTAAAGTAATGAATCTATCAATTTCCTGCCTCTGTTTTTCGAGTTGATCAGAAAAACTCGGTGAAAAATTCATTGGCATCTGATAATCACAACTTCCACTTGTAGTGGTGCTAGCGGTTGGCGTTGTAGCAGTTGTTGTGGTTGTACAATTTTTTGACGATGACAAAAACACAAAACCGTCATTATTAATATTTCTAACACAAGAATCACGTTGTTGTTGTTGTTGAAGTTGAGCCAAATACTGTTGCTGAAGTTGTAACAACGCTTGTTGTTGTTGTTGTTGCTGCTGCTGGTATTGAAATTGCTGTTGTTGCTTCTGTTGTTGAAGATTACTATTACCAGTAAACTCATTAAACCCACAACCATTAAAAACACTGGTGTTATTGTTGTTGTTCATATGGTTGTTCGCCAACAACAACCAATCTTGTTGCGCAACACCACCACCAACACCACCACCTAACAATGGTAAACCAAGATTGTCGGGGTACATCTGTGCTTGTATAGCCATTTTTCACGTTTTTCTTAAAAACACAAATCAAACGATTGATTGTTGTTAGAAACCAGAAGAAAATGAGAAACAGAGAATTTCTCTCTCTAGAAAACAGATTCTCTCTCTAGAATGATGGTGTCTTGAGAAAAAGTATGTGTATGGAGGCTAAGAAAGAAAACAATGAACGAAGAACAGAGAAAATAAAAGGGTGTTGGGAGTTTATGTTTATATATATAGTCGCATAAAGGTTACAGCATGGGAATAAGATAAAATAAAATAGATTTATTTAATAAATAAATAAATTATTTTTTTAATGGGAGTAAAGACGAGATTTGTTTTAAATTTTTAATTAAGAGTAAAAGTAACTAAAAAAGGAAATGAGAAGCCTTAGGATTCTGCCTATCTCCTCACCTTCAATTATTTTTTAAAAAAAGGAAATAAAAATTATTATTTTAATTATAGAAAAATAATTGTAACTGTATTTATGATATTTTTTACTCAAAGTAAAGCAATAAAGAGAGGTGGGAAGGGAAAGAAAACGTACGAAAACATGCACAACTTATGACTAAACTATCGGGTCAGAGATTTCAGAGGTTTGTTGAATGACAATTTTCATTCAATTCCAACCCATGCCAAAGGTTGATTCACCCTTCAATCCTGCATTTTACTTGTACGTTTTAATTGTATTAAATTCAGAATACGGAATACAAAATACCAAGTTTGTAACTTATACGGAGTACTAGTATCACGGAGTACTGTAGTATTGTATTTTAACTGAAATTAACAGAGTTAAGCTAAAATACGGTCCCTCAACTTTAGTATTTGTAGCATTTTGGTCCCTCATCTTTCAAACGAACCAAATTGGTCCCTCAACTACTCATAACTTACTTTTCCGGTGAAAAAAAAATGAGTCACCAAAGTTTAAGGACCAAAGTGTCCATGTGGCAAAAAAAATAATATTTTAAAAAAAGTTTATGGACCTATCCTAATTAGCAAAAGTTTAATTAATTAATTTTTTTTTGTCAGTTTTTTTTTAAAAGGGAATCTTTTAACTAACATTATTTTTTTTTCCCATCAACATTAATATTTTGGTTATGATTTGCATTAATCAAACTATAGAATTTCCAAAAAAAAAAAAAATTTAAAAAAAACTATAGGATTTTCCACCTTTTTTCACCCCACATCACCAACAACCTGCCACAAACACATAACCCCATTTCCACCCGTCTGCAGCCTCACCACTGTCATTAATCAACCACGCAACCCAAACCTCTGGTTCGGCTGAAATATATTGTGCATGAGCTTGTACAGAATTAATTAAATCAGGAGCAAGATTAAATCCCAAAATAAATCAAAGGCTGGGATTAAAATATGGTGATTGATGATGATCGTTAATAAGGTGCAAAGCAGGGGATTGTTTCCCCATTAGAGCAGCCAAACCGAAAGAGAAGAAGAGAGGACCGACCCTCTTTTTTTTTTCTTTTCCTATTTCTTTAATTCGAATTATTTAATTTTTTTTTTTTGAAAGAAAGTCAAAGTATTTAATTTTCTTCTTTAATTCTCTAAGTCATATTTTTTTTAAAAATAGTCATTTAATTTTTTAAAAAAGCAAAAAATTTGGGTATGTTTTCTTTCATTTTAATCAAAGTTTGTACATAATAAATAATAAATATTAATTAGTAGCTGACAAAAAAAAATGATTTGTAATCCTTAAACAAATGCTTAGTTGGCAGTACACATCCCCAAACTTTGCTGACTCATAAGTTCCTCCACCAGAAATAGTGAGACAAGGGTGGTAGAGGAATCAATTTGCCTCATTTGAATGATGAGGGACCAAATATGCAACTAATGCCATAGTTCAGGGATTGTATTTTAGCTTATCTCGAAATTAACATGATCGATCTTATAAGGGCCGGATCATGTATTTTAGTATTTAAATTTACCCCACTCTCGCTATCTCAAATATTTTGTCCACGGACTCAAGTCAGGAATCCTTAACTACAAAAAATATATGTAAATTATAATCATATTTTTTTTCAGTATATTTATGTGATTGCTAAATGAATTTCCGTAATTAATAGGAGTTTTTAGAACAAAAAATTTACACTTGAAAATTGTAAAATGTTAAAAAAATCATCAAAATATAAACACTAATAACACTGATTTACGCGTGTTTTGTCATAAATTCCTAATTTTATACAATTTCCAAGAATATATTTAATGTTTATATATATATAACATTACCCTTTTTTGAAAGGTATAATATTGAGGACAGTAATAATTACAACAAAATGTTAATTAAATTATATAGGTGAATTTTTTTCTATACAAATATTATTTTCCCCAAATGAAGATGTATTGTACTCCGTATTATGCCTTTTTTCATAGTACCTTTAGTAGGCAATAATGCAATATTAATATATCATGCATGCAACGTTGCCAAGCTATGCAATCAATTTACACGGTTTTGCATAATCATAAAGATCAGTTTCCTTTTTAGTGTAAATTCACTCCAAAAAAGAAAAAGCTTAATAATTTAGATTTAAATGAAGTACCCTATTATTATTGCATTAAAAAAAAAAAGTCAATGTTTTTAAAAAGGAAAAATAAAAATCTCTTGTAATGAAAAGTACTGTATTTAACATAATCATGTACTCATTGATATACTTCCATTAATTGGATAATTGAAAATCTACTACCAGCTAACTTTACCAACAAATTGGATTATTATTGTTAATATTATTGGTTTGTTGATGCCAATAATAATGCACCAATAATACTAAAAAATACAACTGTTTTTAAATCTAAAGAGGAAATAGATTACTTTAAGAGATAAATATGTTAAGATATAAATAAATATATGTTACAATTAGAAATAAATTATAATTTTTTATTTTCTTCTATATAGATGGGATCTTAAATTATATGATAAATTAATTGAATCCAAATCTGGTCAAAATAGCTGATTGAATCTGAATATATATTTTTTTGGAGTAATTTGGTGTTTACCCTAATTACTATACTCGGAATTAAAAAACAATTAGACAAAATAAAATAAAATAAATTTATTTAAAAAATTAAAACTTGGATTACACGGTAGCTTATATTCAATGTTATTTCGATTAAATAGGGAGGGAAAAAAGGAAGGAAAGTTAGGATATAATTATTCCAAAATCTCGTTCCACTTTTGGCCCCATTAGTTATTTTTGTACATGCAATGTTATTACGAGTAATACGGAGCCAAGTGCATACAATCGAACGTTATAGGTTTTCAAATAGTTACTTCCACGTAAATCAAGCTGTATTTTAGTATTGCCTTTCTTCTTTTAATGAACAACTTAGCCGATAGAAATTAAATTTGGTTTTTCTTAAGGTTAATTTGATGTGATCGTGTACTAAATTAATTAGTGACCTTTTCTTTTGGGGTCAAATGTTGACCATCAAACTATTGAACTTAAGTACTTAACCAAATCATATGATTTAAATCTATACCAAAACAAATTCTATCAATTGGCAATGTTGTTACTAAATTAATTGGAAATTCATTAATTTAATCTAACTTGCCTTATGCAAATGAGTGTGGTTTGAAAATTTTAAAAAATATAAATTACCTACAAAATTTCTAGGCTATGTATAGTTTAGCTTATTTGAGATGATATTTGCTTTAAAAAAAAAATCATCGGATTAGATTATACCAGACTAAAAAATAAATAAATTATATCTCATCTTTGTGTTATTTATCGCTAATTTTCTTTAATTTAATAATTAAAATTTCATAATACGTATTTGAAAAGTCTGTACTAGTATGAATCTAATGACATATCAAGATCATTTGATAATGGTTTGTATTAAAGATTATGTTCGTAAAAAAAAGGTAAATTTTCGTCACAACTAGAAATCATAAAAGATCATATCAAATTAGATCCGAGTAAGAATTAAGCAGAGTTTTTGGGTATTTGTTAATGAGAAACTTAGATGTTATCATTAACCATACAAATATAAATAAATTAAATTGCGATGGTGAATAAGAATTTATTCAACAACCTAATATAGTGAGAAAGTGTAAGCCTCACTTAGCCATAAAATTTGGTTCTTAGCTTGTCCATGTAGTTATCCCCTTGGAATTTCAAATTTCAATGGAATAAGAATAAAGCCTCTTGAAAGGATCCATGTGAAAAGGTCTCTATGCGCATTTTCATCTCCAATGTGCAATACTTTAGCCACAAATAATGTGCGTCGATTAATTCCATTTGAGTGAATATGATCTTTATATTTTATGCCCAATAATACAAGGAGGATAAAATCATCTATCATTGTGCTAGCTAAAGAGCTACATTTTCACGAATAAAGTTAAAGGCGTTGGCTTCGCTCAAAGTTAAAGGTGTTATAATTAGTCAATGTTGATTGATGATAGCATAATTTAGGAACATATGCTTTGATTAGATGTAAAACCTGTATATAACAGGTAATCACATACAAAAAAAAAAAAAAAAATAATAAATCACATTTAATTATTTTACGTGGTAATCTAACTTTAAAGCAATAAATGTTACTAATTTAGAATAAATTTGGTAAATAGAGTGCCTAAACTCACTGTGTACACTCACACAGTCACACTTATTAAAAAATAAATACGAATTGTCTTGATTAATGCCCAAATTTTATAAGCCCATTATTTTGGTGGAGTATATAGGAGTTTTAAAACAGGGGACTCAATTGTTGCAAAATATGGGAAAGGGGGACTCAATTTATTTTATAGAGGAAAAGAGGACTGGGCTAGAACGGGCTTGGGTTATCGGTGAGTTTTAATTAATTAAGGGAAAGAATTGAGTCCAGCAGAGCATCGTCACTTTCATTGCTCTCCTTTTGTCCTTAATGGTTTGGATGAAAGCCAAATTTGGAAATTTTGCAACGAAATTGCGGCAAAGAGCATCAAAAGGTACGTATTTCTTTTAATTAATTGTTTTATTTGTTTGGATTTACATAAATGAGGTATATTTTTAGGTTGTTCGTTTGCCAGCATAATTGGTAGGGTTTATGTACTTAGTGAAATTCATGCATTAGTACTCTTTAAAACTTTGATTATGCCTTAAATGGGGATGAATTATGGTTTTTGTTTTGTAATTCTTGTTATGTACAATTTGGTGATGTATCTTTTGCTTGTTTTGGGGTTTTAAATTTTTAAATTTTATTTTTTTTATCATTGTTAT